AACCTAAACAAAACAATAGCATTTGATAAATGACGTTTATCTAATTTTTTACATTTTCACTTTCATCTTCACTTTCGTTGCAATTATGTAATGTTATTTAAAATAGGGAACAAACAATGATTTTTTGTTAAGTGAAATATGTTTGTTAATTGGCAAGAAATATTTGATTATTTACTTTTTATAATACAAAGGGATTTAAGTTAATTTACATAAGTTTGTATATTAACAAATTGTTATTTATTAATATATAAACAAGATGTAACTAACAGTTTACTTTTTTTATTTGTTTAACATATTTACAAAAATTGTTTTTCAAATTAATTTATCTTTGTAATTATGTTTTGTTAGAAAGAAAAAAACAGCTAATTGAAACAAAATCTATTTTTAAAATAAATAATATTATAAAAAAATTTAAAACAAATTTTAATCCAAATATTTGTAAAAAAAAAGAAAGTTATTTTTTATGTCGATTTATCTTAAAAGTTTTAACAACTAGTATTTTTTTGCTAGTAATCCTACAGTTAAACAGCCTAAATTTTTTTTTTTTTTTTGATCATTGCTCTCTGGTAAGTGGAGACTTAAAACATAAAAAAATACTTTTTGGCTTCAGTACATACTTATTATTTTAAAATTATCTTAAAATCTGATTCTGCAGAGGAGTGCCAGAGGGTTCGGCAGCATTCTTTTTTTTTATCATTATTAAAATTTTCATTATGAAATTTAAGATTGCTGTCCCATGCCAAACATTCAGTGGATACAGTTACACACCCTTGCGGCAGCATGCTTAAAGATAGTATATGTAGATACTAAAGCCAACAGAAATTATTTTATGTTTAAAAAGTCTCTACAAAAGAAATAATGCAAATGTAATAAGTAAAAATTTTGATTATTTAAAAAATTTTGATTATTGTTAAAATTTTGGTTATTTTAGCCCACTTAACTAAAGGATTATCTTCTTTTTTTTCTGTCTATAAATCAAGTTAGTTTTTTATAATAAACCAAAGCGTTTAATAAGAGTTTTCTTAAAAGTTTAAACTGAATTCCATTCAATGGCTTAATAAAATAACTTTCTTATATAAAAGTAACTTTTAATGTTTTGCATGATTTTTTAGCTTTATGCTCAAGATTCTTTTAAACAATTTTTTTTATTAAAAAATGCAAATTTTTAAAAATAATAATAAATAACCCTAACCCTAACCCTGTAGCTGCACTCAGGGTTAGTGTTAGGGTTACTGTTGCGAGTCAGGCTATAAGATAGTTGATGTACAATACTCCCTTGTAGCAGCAGGCTATAAGATAGTTGATGTAACAACACTCCGCGCATTTTTTAAAAATATATTTTAATAAAACAACAACAAAAACACCATTAATTAAAAAAAACTTTCTAGTCATTATTATTGCAGTTTTTTTAAAAAACAATAAAATTTAATGTACTTCCACATTAATTTAGTTGCTATGACTTTTCAACAACAATAAAATGTAGCTTAATTGTCGAGGTAGCAAAATTGTAGTTGAAAGAGACTTTTTTTTACCATAAAATTTATATACACACATACATATCTGTATACATATATATATATATATATATATATATATATATATATATATATATATATATATATATATATATATATATATATATATATATATATATATATATATATATATATGTATATATATATATATATATATGATATATATATATATATATATATATATATATATATATACATACATACAGATATACAGATATACTAAATGGCTTTAGTTGCAATGTATATTTTTTTAGTTCTCTCAGAGCCAATTCTCTCTTTATCACAAGATTTCAATTAATTTTTTCTTTCTTCTATCACCAAGCCAATCAAATAAAGGGATATTTTGCTCTTTCATAAAAGCATTAACAAACTGGACTTGATGACTCCCTGCCACATAGCAAGATTCATGGCTCCACCTTGCAAAAAAGTGGTTTCTTATTTGGAAGCCATTCTCTGAATTTTGTAATCAACTTCACATTCATCTTGCATTATTATACCTTGTACAGACATCCAGTACTTTCACCGCTGATGGCTAACCAGATTGTCATTTTTGTAGAGTGCTTTATAGTCTGAGTGTAGCAGTCAGGATGAAACTTTTCTCCATAACAATAATGCACAGAGCTTTGTTTTTCTAAATTTTAAATGTGCTATTATTGCTAAAATAAAAAAACCTAAATATCTTACTTGTTCTTTTTTGATTTTATATAAAATAAGATTCAATATAACATTTTTTATAAAATAATACCATCTCTTCTGAAATTCACATCTTTATTGCGTCACTGATGTAACTTTAGTAACAACAACAAACTATTATTTTTGAATGTGACTATAGTTTTAGAAATCAAATGCATTTGTTTGACCCACTTCAGATGCTTCCCTTTCACTGCAGCTAATAATTTGGTTTTTCTGGCTTAAAAACCTAAATTCTTTAACTTTCTTCGAACAATGTGCACATTCATATAATTGAATCTTGTAGTTACAATTTTATAAGTTTTGTGGTAGCTAATCTGTTTTCCAGGCAAGTTTTCTCTAGACATCTTTCTGACCTTGGAATAAATAAAGCCCTTCTGCTGCATCTTTTCTTTTTGTTTTAGGTTCAATTTGTTTCCTAACTGAAGTTTTTTCTATATTCTTTATACTATAGCTTCAGAAGTGATCAATCTTTGTAATATTTCATGGTTTGAAAATATTTTAGTAATAATAATGGTCTCTACTTTAGGTTTTTTTACATGTTGAAAGATCGCCTTTTTTATCCCATAATAAAAATGTTCCAAATGATTACTTAAACACTGCACAAAAAATAAACAAATAACTGTGTTGTTAAAAACTTTAAGTCAAACCATACACAGCGCACAAAGCTACAGAAACAAGTCCCAAATGAAATGCATTTAGTAGAAAAATAAATCTAATTATGTCTTTTATGAGCTTTACATATGCAGAAAAAGTGTACATATTAACTTTTTTACTCTTGAATATTTTTTTTCAGAATAAATTGTTTTACTACAAAATATTGAATTAAATAAGGAATAGGTATATAAATAATCAGTGCAGAATAGATTTGGTTAGAAATGGTAGGCTTGGTTAAGACCTGTATTTTACAGATCCGTAAAGCTATGGTGTATATGGAAAAAGTATAGAAAAGTTTGGTTTGGAATAGATTTACAAAGACCCGTATTTTTATGGGTTTGATCTCAGCTAGTAAAATGAATTGCGCTTTTTTAAATAATGAATGAAACTGAATAATGCGATTTTGTTAAGTGCATTATTTAGACCAGTATTTGGAACTGGAACTTACCTGAAACTAAAAGTTATATGTAATACAAACATTTTAAATAACTTGAATTAAATTTATTAAATTTTTTCATAAATATGGAAACACGTACATAAATTCGTGAATACGTACGTAAAATTCAAATAGTCTAACGCTTCTTAACAAGGTGCCTGTAACTCAACAAATCCCTTCCCATACAACTCGCAAAATTGCGAAAATGAACATTAAATGTGAGTGCATGTTTTTAAACTTATGAAATGTAAAACTTAATATTAAATATGATAAAAAGTTTAAACTTAAAACACTTTATTTTCTAAATTTTAACAACAACAACAATAAAAATTATTAAACAAACTTAGTTTTAACAAAAAATCTATTAGTTTACAATTGTTTATTAGTTTACTATTAGTTTACAATTGCCGTTAAATGCTTTTACTTACAACTTTATTTTCTTCTGAATAAAAAATGTCCCATAATTTATATCAAAAGATAATTGAAATATTCTAAAAGATTTAAGTTTTTGCGTAACGCAAAACTGCTGAGCGCGTAGGCAAATCACCAATTCACAGGTAAAATGCGAGCTGCGTAATGTTTCTTAAAACGCCTGATATATGTATATATATATATATATATATATATATATATATATATATATATATATATATATATATATATATATATGGTAGCTTAATAGTTTTTTTTTTCTTTTTTTTAAAAAATTGGCTTAAAATTTGCAGTTTACAGTTTGCTATCATTCAACTTAAAACAAATCTTTGTTTAACTTTTTACACCTGTCAAGAAATCTTATTTCAAAAATAAGGTTTTTCAGTGAAAAGTTATGACTTAAAAATGGAAACATCAAAATATTGGGTTAAATGTAGTATGCTAATTCTTAATTTGGTAAAAAGGATTTTTTTAAATTAATTAATTATTATGTTATTAATTAATTATGGCTAAACTGATCAAATAAAATATCTGAATATAAAAGTTTGTAAGGCTATCTATGATAATATATACAAGATAGAAATTGTTTGTATCTTAACCTTAAATCTTTGCACCTAAATTTTAGCTAATCTATGACAAACATATCTTTTTATGACTTCTTTAATAGTGAATACTTTTAGTAATTGTTTGTTAAGAACACAAATTAAAAAAATATATTTGAATAAAATTTTAATAAACTAAACTTAAAAATGAAAAAAGTGTTCATACAAAAGTAGTATAAATAAAAAATGTAATAATTAAAAGATTTTGAATTAAAAATAAATAACATTTCCAACAAAAAATGAATAGAATAAAAATTAAAATAATAATAAATCAATGAAAATAATAATGAATAAAAATATCTCCTACATATACACGAAAATAATTATAATTGTTTTTAAAGAAAATATTTTTATGCAAATGTTAATGTTTTTTACGCAATAATTATACAACTGTAATATATAATTATTTAATTATTACACCTTAACTTATTTGTAGTTAAGGTGTAATATCATAAGTTGCATAATATTAATTTATGTAATTTTGACTGATTCATAATAAGTACTTTTAATTTTATAAGTCTTGTAAATATCTTAAATTAAATAGTTATTTAAATGATAATATACTATTATGATATAATATAGTAATATATATAGAGAATAATATAGTAATATATATAATATTCTTTTGGTAATTTTTTTTCAAAACAGGGTTCTGGAAAAACAACAGTTGCACGATTGCTAGCAGAAATTCTTAAAGACACTGGTCTAAGATCATCAAACACATTTGTAGAATCTTCAGCTCAAAAGTTAAAAGATGATGGTCCTGATAAGTTTCGTAACCTAGCCGCATCTGCTAAAAATGGTGTTTTATTTATAGATGAAGCATATGATCTGGATCCAAAAGGCGATTTGCAAGGAAAACCGATTGTTTCGGAATTGTTAGTGATTTCAGAGAATGACCGTGAACATCTTTCAATTATTTTAGCTGGTTACGAAGATGATATGAATGAGAAACTCTTCTCTTACAATGAAGGAATTAAAAGTCGCTTTGAAATGGTGCATTTTGAAGATTTTGATGAAAGTGAACTGAAAACAATTTGGAATGGTGAAATAGAGAAACGTAAGTTTGTTTGTGATGATAGTGTTTCAACTGTGGTATCTAAACGTCTTGCAAAAATGTCTGGTAAAAAAGGATTTGGTAATGCTCGAGCAGTTCGTAAAGAGATTGAAAAAGCTATTCAAACTGCAATGGCACGAGAGAACTTTGATCCATCAAACTTGATCATAAATATAGAAGATGTTGTTGGTGAATCACCATTAGATAATCCAAAATTGAAAGCAATTCTACAAGAATTTGATGACAAAATAGGTTGGAAAGCAGTAAAGAAAAGTGTCAACCAGTTAATTGAAATATGTAAAACCAACTTTATGCTTCAACTAATGGGAAAAAAAACATTACCCATAATGCTTAACCGTTTGTTTCTTGGTAATCCAGGAACTGGAAAAACTACTTGCGCAAAACTCTATGGACGTTTATTAAAAGAGTTGAATTTCTTATCAATTGGAGATGTAGTTATGTCTACAGCTAGTGATTTTGTTGGATCGCATGTTGGAGAATCTCCAAAAAAAACTAATGCCATGCTTGAGAAAGCTCGTGGAAAAGTACTTGTAATAGATGAAGCTTACAACCTTAATGATAAGTTATATGGAAAGGAAGTAAGATGTCATTTTATTTTATTTTATATGTAAAATAGCCATATAAAATAAAATGAAAATAATTTTTGTATTTTTTTCACATTAATTTGTATTTATTGTTACTATGATGTCTATTATCACTGTCACACAGGTTAAAAAAATAAAAATTTTTCTAATGCCAAGCAAATAATACTTTTATCGTAAACCATTTCTCATTTTGGTTTCAAATATACGTCTCTTTTTTCACCATCACATCAAGTTGTAAAGATGTTAGGGTCTTTATCGTTTGGGATAAAATTCATAATATTGTCAAAAAAAAAAAGATTATTCAAAAGTATGTCAAATGGGTCTTAGAAGTATGTCAAATAGAAGAAACGTATTTTCAGAGAGGTTTTAGAAAACAAAAATTTTTTAATTAAATTTTATTAACAAAAAAATGTTGTAAAAAAATGATTAAGACTCTCAAAAGACTTTTAATAAAATGTTTCTTAGCAATAATTAAAAAAGTATTTATTTTTATTAAAAACAAATTTTTATAAAAATACGCTTCTTTTGACACCCAGGTTGAAACTTTTGAAAAATGCTATACAAAAAACATATTATTTGCTCAGCATCAGAAAAGAAATTTTATTTTGTGGGTCTGTGTTATTATTAATTAATAATAAATACAAGTAACAATATTTTCTTATAGATTTAGCAATCTCTTATATATTAGTTTATTTGAAGAAATTTTTCTCTAAAACTATTTTTAAAGATGATATTTTTCTTTGAAATTTTTCTTCAAGGTGCTTGATGTATTGGTTGAGAAAGTGCAAAATACAGAAAGTGATGATATTGCTGTTTTGTTGCTTGGTTATGAACCTCAAATGCGTGAAATGCTTCGTGAGCAAAATCCAGGATTAGCTAGACGTTTTGCAATGGATTATGCTTTTGTATTTGAAGACTATAGTGAATCTGAGTTGTTTGTTATTCTAAAAGGTGTTTGTAAAAAAGAAAATATACAGATGTCAATAGAGGCAAAATATATTTTATTATATTTTTGAAAATAATATTTTTGAGCTTCAAAAAATAAGGGTTTAAAAATGTTAATTGACAAAAGAAAAAAAAAACACTACAAAATCTATCTAATAGAGTACATCGTTTAAAAGAAAAAAATTTTTTTTTAATGATTTTAATAATATCTGCAATAAAATCTAATTTTTTTCTTTTATATGTAGGTTTCTGAAGCCATTCTAAAATTGTTAGAAAAGCAAAGAGCACAACCAAACTTCGGTAATGCAGGTGCAATAGATAACGTGATACGTGCTGCTTTAGCCAAAGCGTCATCTCGTCCTTTGACTTCAGATGGCATGATAAAATTAATTCCTTCAGACATAGGGGATGGAAATGCAGAGAATGAAAAAGAAAAAAGCAGTGATCCATTCGCACCATTAGAAAAATTGTATAGAGTTGAAAATATTAGACAGCAACTCATAGAAATTAAAAATACTTTTCAGGTTGCACAAACAGAATGCTCAAAAGATCGTCCAGAATTAGGACATTTTGTATTTCAAGGAGCTCCGGGTACTGGTAAGACCACTGTAGCAAGAGTTATGGCAGAAATACTTTTTGATTTAGGATTATTACCTCGAAATCATGTTGAAGAGACTTCAGGTCTTGGTTTAACAGGTAGTATTTTGTTGACTTCTTAGTTAAATGTTTTTTTTTCATAAGAAAAAATTATATATATGTATGTATATTAATAAGCATTAGATAGTCAATGCAGTGACGTACCCAGACCTGTTTTAGTACTTTTGCTTTTGTTAAATTAAAATTAAGTTTTCAGTTTTAAATTAATATATAAATAATTTTCAGTTTATTTTAGCTACCTTATTTTTCTTCAGGGCAATAAAATGAATTAAAAAGAAATTGCTTTTTTATGTAATTATGTAACTGTACTTCAGTTACTAACAAAATGTTAGTTTAAAAAAAATGAATGTCGTTATGACACTTAATTTTAAAAACTTGTTGCAAATTTTTATAACAATAGAATATAAAAAAATTTGCTTTTTTGAAAAATAGAACGTTTTTAAAAATCCATTCAGAATAAAGTTAGCTTTTGTTTTTTGGCAATTATATTACTTAGATTAATATCCTTAGATTAATATCCTTAGAGTAAACTGCTTTTGATAATAAGTAATAAGTTTTGATAATTACAAAAGTAAAATATTTCAGTCTTAATAACTATTGCACAAATTTAGTTTTTAAATGAATGAATGAACTTTTGATTGAATGTTTTTGAATGAATGAACTTTTGATCTTCAGGTTGCTATTTTAGTAAAACAGTAAAAAAAAAAAAATGAAACGTAAACTTTTTCAGAAAGTTTGTTTATTTTTAATACTCTTTTTGACTTTTAAAATAATAAAAATAACAATTACAATAACTTAATAAAAGTTTTATTTAGATCTGTGTAAAATAACAATAGTAAATGTAACTCATTTAGTATACGTAATTTACCGTAATTATCTCTTTTTTAATTATTTTTAATTTGAAAGGCGCCTTAAAATCTCTTTAAAAACTTTAATCATTAGTAAATGTTAAATGAACAGGTTAGCTAATAATTAAATCAAAATTTTAAAATTAAAATAATAGTAAATATATTTGTTAAATATATTTTAAAATTAAAATAATAGCTTATATTTTTTATCTATTTTGTTAATTTTACAAATATTACGCAATTTTATATATATTAAAAATTTTAGTCTAAATGATACTAATTGTTGAAAACAATAATAACTACTAAAATTAAATTTACTAAAATATAGTTAATGTTTAAAATACTTTAAATTATTTACTAATAGCGTGGCATTTGCAACAAAACTATTAAAGTTGTAAGTAAAATAGTTTTGTTATTGTAACTAAAGTTACATCATCCACCAGTAAATTATTTGAAAAAATGCCTTCAAATCAAATCCTTATCTTAGGATAAAACTAAACAGGATAACTGATGATTAAAATGATGATAGAAAAAATTATTAAAAATCATTGTTGTAGCACTATGTTTTAACTATGGGAGGTGGTGGGGGAATTCAAAACCATCAATCCTTCCTCCCACTTTACCTCACCCCCACAAATATTGTATTAAAAATAACGAAGCATTCATATTACAATAATTGTTTGTTTCATGTTTTTGGATACATATCATTGGATACATCATTATTAATTATATATACAGCACAATCTCTTTAATTTGTATTTTATAGAAAATAAAAGTTTGAAAGAGATTTTCTAATTATAGGTAGTTGACTTTTTAGGGTGATATTTTATGGTTATCAAATCAAATTTCAAGGTTTTCAAATTAAGATATTTTTGATTTTCAAATTTAGAATTAAACTTTGAATTAGAGAGATGTACTATATTTTAGTTGGTTACATAACATTAATAATTTTATATATCATGTTTTATTTAGATAAATAACATTATTAATTAATTTATATCTTGTTTTTAACTGAATAAATTACAAAAATTGTTTTTGTCATGTTTTTATTGGATAAACAACATAAAGATTAATGTCATATTTAAATTTCCAAAAAAATTTTATTTTTATTCAATTTAAACTTTCAAATTTTTAATTAAAATTTTTATCTAATATTAAAATTTCATAAAAAATTTTTTTTATAATTTTCCTAAATAAATCTTAATTTTTTTATTTGTTTTTTCCAGCTTTCCCCTTAAAATCTCCTGAACAAATATTTAAAAATCTCCTAAAATCTCTTAAATTCTTCTAATTTTTTAACTCAAAAAAAGTGGTGACAACCATGTAATCATCATACCTGTCTTTTTTGAAGCAAAGGTAATTTTAATGCATTATCAAATTACATTTTAGCATACAATTGAAAAATAATGTTTAATAACCTCTTAGCAAATAGTTAAAACCTACTTATCTCAAAATATAATAAGCCATAAAGTTACATATCTCATCGGCGACTGCTTCATTTATTGCCAAAAAAGAGCTATGGTCCACCTCAGAGGTCAAAGCAGATTTAAAAAAAACAACAAACTAAAAGGCAAATTTCGAGCCTCAGGGTGTCACTCACTCAAACTGTTACAAAAGCATCACCAAGCCATATGTAGAGAAGTGAAAATATTCATTAAACAGGTATACATTTGAGGAGCAGCTAGTTTATAGTTTAATGTCTAATCTAAATAAAGAACATGCTTATGTCTAAAGTAAAAAGCAAGTTAAAGAATTAATCAGCGCCCTAGATATCACAGACAGAACAACAACAGTTGACCATGAAATGTGTCACACTATTAACTACTTTTTTTTTTTTAATTTGTTATTTAGTTGCCTGAAGAAGTCCTAACAGTCTTGTCACAGAGCACCGGGGAAGTGCATTTAACCAGGAAGTTCACGCCTTCTTCCTTACCGTGATTCAAAATATGTTCAAAGCTCGTTTTGAAACTGGATCTCCTGCTTGTAAAGCAAACTCTCTAACCACTGCGCCACGGCCACACATTTGAGTTGGTATTAGTCACAAATCCAACACCCAAGATGCCTGCATTCACAAACAAAACCATGAATAATTGGAATTTCTAGGTGAAAGATTTAGCTGTTGAAGGTGTTAAATCAAGGCTAAGCCATCTCACAGAAAGCTAGTCAATAGGAGCAGATAATATATATCCACAAATTATAAGTCGATTTTCTGTAGCTTTTTTCTAAACAAGTTGCACTCATTTTAAACATTCAATATCAAACCAATCTTTAAAAATAAAGTAGACTCAAAGCAACCAACTACAGAGCAATTTTTCTAAAGTCTGTGAGAGAAACTGGTCTGTCATTGAGAGTAATTGAATAATAATATTTGTGACAACACACAAGCTATTTAACAAAGCATAACATGGATTCGTAAAACAAAAAATCTATCTATAGAATCTCCTCAAAATATTAAAACAAATCTTAATTAGAAAAATAATAAGTGTAACTATAATATAATTAATTAATGTAATTAGTTATTCTTTATAAAGATTATACTATTTAATTATCCAGGGAGAATTAGATAATTCTATACATCATAGAAGCATTATTTTGTGCCTTTAAAAAGTTTAACATCAATGTCTAATTTTTAAATTCAGATGAAATTAACTCAGCAAATGCTAAGCATTACTGCTTTCTAATGTATAGAAAAAATCTATTCCCTTTAATTTATCACCTTAATTTAAAATCACCTATCAATATCAATTAAAATCACCTATCTATATCACCTATATCAATCTATATGACCTTAAAAATAAAAATATGTATATATATATATATATATATATATATATATATATATATATATATATATATATATATATATATATATTTATATATATATATATATATATATATATATATATACATATATATATACATATTTTTATTTTTATTATATATATTATATTATATATATATATATATATATATATATATATATATATATACATATATATATATATATATATATATATATATATATATATATATATATATATATATATATATATATATATATATATATATATATATATATATATATATATATATATAATAAAAAATGCTGCCTAAAACTAAATCAGTAATTTTCAGTAGGTACTGCTGTTTTTTTTTCTGTTATGTTAGATATAGTTTATTTTTATTTCATAATTTAAACATAAAATCTACTTTCATTATAAAGGAGAATATGTTGGTCAAACTAAAAAGCGAGTTAAAGATAAATTAGATGCAGCTAGAGGAGGCATACTTTTTATTGATGAGGCTTATGAGTTAGGCAAAGGTCATTACGGAGAAGAAGCTATAACTACCTTGGTTGCTGCAATGACAGATCCTAATTATAAACTTGTCATAATTATTGCTGGATATCCTCAAGATATAGATCAAATGCTTTCAGTAAATGTTGGTTTAAAAAGCAGGTATTTATAAATTTAAAATTTATATATTAAATTTTTATTTTAAATTATTTATTATTGTTATTTGTAGTTATTTTTTATTTAACTTGATTTTTTCAAGCACACGCTATAAAAAGACAAAAGTAAAAATAAATAAAAAAACAGCCAATAGCAGTTAAAATAAGGTTTTTAGTACTGTTTGCAAATGATAATTCATAATTATTATATTGTTCCCATGCATATGTACAATATACCATATAAAATGTTTCCATGCATACCATGTTGTATATACCATGTACCACATACATGCCATGTAGGATATACCGTTTTTCCATGTATACACAAACTATTGTTTTTCATTATGTCTAATCTTCAATTCTTATAATCAAAATTGTTTTGAAAATCTCAACATTTTCTTTTATCAGAAAAAAAAAAAAACTATAAGATTGTCATAAATTTCTCATAAATGTATTTAAAAATGCATTCACAGCAAAGGCAGCTTGTTCAAAATTTAAATTAAATGTTTAGCTGAAATAACTTTTTAATTGCAAATATATCAGTTTTTTGCAAAAAAAAATTTAATTAAATATCGTTTTAATAAAATTTGTAAGCTAAAATTATATTTATAAATTAATTATAAAAATTATACAATTTATGTTTTTTTAGTCATTTATTAGCAACTTAAAATTTTGTATGACAAAATGTAATTACGATAAAAGTATCTTATAATAAAAACCACAGACATAAAGCAAAAATCTCCAGAAGTTATTCACATCCTTAAAAAGTGTTCTTTAAAAAGTGTTCTCATACTTGATTCAAAACCTCCTGTGATCTTTAGAGTTTACCACATAATGTAAGAAAATAAGTTTTATAGAGGTAGCACAATGTATGTGGAGAAGAAAATAAAATGAGTAAAATCTTTTTCTCTGAATCGCATATCAGTTTAATGAGAATACTCAGTTTTGTGAGAATACTCAGTTTTGTGAGAACACTCAGTTTTGTGAGAACACAGTTTTGTGAGAACACTCAGTTTTGTGAGAACACAGTTTTGTGAGAACACTCAGTTTTGTGAGAACACAGTTTTGTGAGAACACTCAGTTTTGTGAGAATACTCAGTTTTGTGAGAACACTCAGTTTTGTAAGAAAAAACTCAGAAAACTTTGTGAATAATCTCAACAAGAAGAAGGAAAAAAAGATTGTTTTATTGAAAAACTGAAGTATTGTAAAAAATTGTTTTTTTGGAAAATTAAAAAAAAAAAATCTTTTTACAAATTATTTTTAATAGGAACATCTGTTTTTTAATTTCTATGCAATTTTTGCTGTTTGTGAAGTTGTCAAAAGTTGTTTTGTTTTTTTTAGTTTAAAACAAAGAATTAACCCTAATGTAAACTATTTTGTAAAAGAAAATGGACAACTCAAAAAATACTAAAATATACAGCAGAAGTCTTCAGTTTTTTTGCAAGGAGCACAACAATGAATTAATCACATTTTTCAATATTTTCATCCAACTAACTTTCTTCTTACAAATTTAGGCAATAATTTATACTATATTAGAAACCTGAATTATTTACATATTTTATTGTATTTTTACGTATTTTGAAAACAGGGAAAATTCCTAATTTTGTTACAATTTTACGAAAAATTGGGAAATATTTTTTATTTATAATAATTTTTATAAGTTTATTATAGATATTGTTAAAAATTCATCTTAGCTAGATCATTTTTTTTATTTTCATTGTTTTAAATCTCTACAGTATTAATATGGTTTGAGCAAGATTTTACTTTGATTTTGCATTTTTTTTTTAAATCAAAACTGAGAATACTTTAAATTAACTTTGGTTCGAAGCTTGGATGCAAAAAAATTAGATATTTACAATCTTTGAGTTGCCATGTGTTTAACAATGTTTGGAGTTCTTTTGAACAATTATTTTTCAATTATCAACAGTTTGTCTCAATTTGAAATTTAGTTAAACTTCAAAATGAGACAAACTAAATTCTAAAAACAAAATTTCTTAAAAAATTAAGTTATTGTTATAACTATAAATTATTATAGTTATAACAATAACAATAATAATTTATGTTATTGATAGAATAAGTTGATTGTATATTCTAAAGCATGTTTGTCTTTATTAGTTTCTTTTTCTGCCTCTATAATTTTTAATCTAGTTTACTGATAACTTTTAATGACTGATCATTTGAATTTGACTTGATTCTGACTCTATAATCTACATTCTAGTTGATTCATGTTATAAGATTTTTAGCCAAGTTTAAAAAACTTTGTTTTTTCTAAATTTTGTACAGCATAATGCTTGTTAAATACATGACAAGCTCTAATTTCAGATATTAGAGTTTTTCTTTGTTAAGAAGTTAAAATAATTACTTTTCTCAAGGTTTTCAATTCTTCTAATGGGCTTTAGCTTTAGGGTTTTCAAAATAAAAAGAATGGTTAACCCTTAAATGTTTAAAATTTTTATTGTTTTAAAAAGTTCAAACAGCTATCAAAAAAGATAGAAGTATAAAAAATGGCAACCTAAAAACTATTCTAAAAACATATTTTTGTGCTTATGCGCACATATGCATACATACACATTCATACATATACATATATACACAAAATACCAATGGTTGTCAAAGTAAGTATAGAATCTATTGTAATGGAACATTACAATAGAGTCAAGTATTAGTAGAAACCATTAGGTATTTGTTATTATCACAATATGTTTGTAGACTTTATTTTTTTATAAGTTTAATGCAGCTATCAAAAAAGGTATCAGGTGGGCACAGAAAAATCCGGTCTACTTTAAATTGAGATTTCTCTAAAACCATAAATGCTTTTTATTTCAGTTTTATTATTATTAATAAATGTGTTTATATCAATTAAAGTTTCAACTTAATTTTAAGGGGGTTAATGAGCTGTTTGGCAAGAGATCAAGTTTTATAGCAGGTTGATGTCATCATTTCGCAGATTTTTTTTTCCACCTTGTTGGTGACATTAATCCACTTGTTTTGGAAGTCCTTTTTATTTTTTTTTTTGCTCCACTTGTCTTACGAAGAACTCCTTTAACTATTGCCCGAAAATCTTCAATCTTTCGCTCTTCAGGACAATTTGGAGGATTTGCATCTTTAGAAACCATTTTCTCATTTATATCTTTGCACCACTGTAGAACCTTTTTAGAAAAGTGAGAAGCAGCAAGATCTGTCCAAATAAGACATCAATGTTATTGTTTTTTCATAAATGGCAAAAGTCTTTTTTGGAGGCATTCTTTGATGTAGAGATTGGCAGTCAAGGTCTTCTTAGTAACAAGACAAGAGGACTGTATACCACAGCTACAAATTATTTGCCACACAAGGAACTTGGATGCACATTTTTCTTGTCAAATATATTTAAATTATTCATTGACAGGTTTATCTTTGTTCTCATAATAAAATTGCTGACCAGGAAGTTGTGAAAAATCCGCTTTGCAATATGTTTTGTTGTCTTCAATTTTGCACATACTTTTGCATGTACTTTTATCTGCTATTATTTTAACCAACTTCTTTGCTTGGTTTGACAAACCAAGCAAAAGTCGAATTTTCACCATTTAAGCTTCTCTTAGGTGTATTTTTCCTATGAAATGCTTTAATTCTAGCATTTTTAAGTACTTTTTTGATATAAGAATGGGAGATCTTGAATTTTCTTGCTAGATCTTGCTGTGACTGGTTTGGATTTCTTGCTATTGAACATAAAATCAACTTTACCCATTTGGATTTAGGGAGTGTTTTCTTTTTTTTACTTTCAAGTTTTCTTTTGAAGCTTTGAGTAGTCTTAAACTTATTTATTATATCTATGATAGTAGATTTTTGGACATTTGTACATTTAACAATTAAACAATATGACGTTGATGGATTTTTGCAAAAAAAATTCACAACTTTTTTACACACCTCAATTTGTTTCCAAAACATTTCGCAAATGATTAATTTGTAAACAAAAGTTTATCAACACAATTAAATATAAGGAAATAAAAATAAAGTTTAACTAAAAAAATAAAAGTAATAAAAAGCATTTGTGGTTTTGGAGAAATCTCAATTTAAAGTTGGCCGGATTTTTCCATGTCCACCCAATAATAGTAGCTTAAAAGCATTTTGATTGGCTCTAAAAAAATTTTCGAAACATTTTTTCACCCTTATCATAAATGCCCAGCAATTTTTAAAAAAAAAATTTTAAATTTAAAATTTAAATTATTTGTTCTTAATGATTTTTAAGTTTTTTTGTTGATTTGTTGACTTATAAGTTAAAAAGTATAAATTGAAAAAAAAAAGATACTTTAATGATAAAAAATTAGATTAGAATTTTCAGTTTACCTAATATATTATTAGTTAAAAATATTATTACAACAAAATGCTTAGATAAAAATATTTTTTTTTTTTTTGATATTAACAGATATAAAAGATATTAACAGAATATTCGGCCCAATTTAGGTAACTTTTTTTAAAAGTCTTAAATTTTTTTTTAATTTTAAGTTAGGGAAAAAAGAATAGTAATTCAGATGAAAATCAAACAGTTTCAGATTAAAATTATAATGGAAATTAAGAAATTAATATATAAAATCTAAGAAATAATCCTCTTAATGAAAGTCATAAAAACATCATATAAAATATATTTAGCAAAATTATATTTTACAACTTTGCTAATTCTAGAAAAAAATATAAATATAAAATATAAAAAATTAAAAGTTTCAAGTTAAAAAAGGTTAAAAAAAAATAAATAATAAATAATCATCAACAAAAGTTTGATTAAAAATCTTGTTTTTGTTGTTAACTTTTAATAAATAACTTTTAACAATTATTTAATAATGTTATTAAAAATGGCTGTCACATGTTATTAAAAATGGTTGTCACATGTTAATAATAATGGCTGTCACATGTTAATTTTGTTGGTTATACTTATTTTAAGGTTTAAAAGATTTATGAACTTTGAAGATTGGAATAGCAATGATTGTCTTGAATTTCTTCAAAAAAAAGCTGCAACTGATAATTATGGTTTTGATTCTGATGTAAAAAATAGCTTACACGAAGGATTAGAAGAGGTTTGTTTTTTTCATATATAAAATTTATAGAAACAATATTAAATAAAAAAGATGAGTATTACCATGATCAGTAGCTTTGAGAACCTCAATTAAAAGATCAAAATTCTTTAACCTTTTTTATAACGCAGTTTTATATTTCAAATATTATTTGTATAATTATTATTGTTATTCTTTATATTAAATAATATAAGTTCTAAGGATAAATAATTGTTTGAAATTTCTATTGAATGGTTAAGAGATTGTTATCATAAGTTTTTGATTCAGGGTTAATTCAAAAATATCTTTAAAAAAGATCATTAGTAGGCAGTGGCCTACTTGGTAATAAGTATATATATATATATATATATATATATATATATATATATATATATATATATATATATATATATATATATATATATATATATATATGTATATATATATATATATATATATATATATATATATATATATATATATATATATATATATATATATATATATATATATGATATATATATATATATATATATATATATATATATATATATATATATATATATATATATATATATATATATATATATATATATATATATAGTATTCAGTATTAGAAATCATAAATATTTATTTTTTATTTTTAATCCGATTCACTCCCAAAAAGGCTGCAAGCAACCACTATTGATTTAGGAGTTACTAGAAAAAAAGAATAGAGTTATAGAGCAAGGAAACAGTTGACAGAAGACTTAAAAAGTTGAAGATTGTATGAGTCAGGAAAACATGAAGATGGTAGAGAGTTCTAAAAGATTATGGTGCAGGGAAAAAAATAGAGGAATAAAAGTTTTAAGAACATGCAGGAACATATACAGCAAAAGATTGAGACTTTGCTGAATGACGAGTCAAATGAGAATGAGTTTTAGTTGATGGAACTAGAGATGATAGTTCCTTTGAGCAGTGACCATGATAGTATTTGTAGAAAAGAGAAAGAGATGCAACTTTACAACTTTTAACTGATAGAGTAGGTCCAACTACTGTTACAATGCATTTTTGGACCTTGTTTAGAATAGAAAGGGTATCATTAGAAGAACCAGCCCAAATATAACAACAGTATTCTATACAGGGATTAATAAGAGATGTGTAGAAGTAGAGAATGGAATCAGGAGAGCGAAAATAGTGAGCACGATAAAGAAAAGCAACATTTGCAGATGCTAATTTAGCAATCGATGTATATATGGCTTCCATGAGAGGTTATTAGTAAACGATAATCTAAGAAGAGGTAAAGAGGAGGACTCAGTGAGAGAGTTGCCATTCATTAGTATAGGAATGTTAACAGTGCTGCAATAGTTGTTTGTAGTAAATAACTGAGTTTTGTTGAAGTTAAAATTTACAAGCCACTGTGAGCCCCAATCTGTTACTAAAGTGAGATCAGATTCAAGATTGGCTGCCTGTTCTAAGCAATCGAAAAGACAAGACTTTTTGTCAAGACAGGAGTATAAAGTTGAGTCATCAGCAAAAAAAGCTTATTGATCCTTCTTTGTTTATTTCTTCCATTGTGTTTGAGTGTTATTTGTAATACTTTTTCGGTATATTTATACTAATTATATTTTTATTTGTATTATTGTATATATTGATTTCCAAGAAAAATTTTAGTATCATTCAGATTACATCTTAATGTAATTTATTTTATGATTGTTTAAGCTTTTACAGCAATATTTTATTTTATTAATCTAATCACTATTTTAGTTTTTCTAGCAAAACTTCAAAATTATTTTCCTAAAAAAATTCAAAAATATGTATCAAAGGGTTAGACCAAGGTATAAAGCGAAATAAGGAAGAAAATTAGGAAAAGAGAAAGGATAAAAAAATTAAAATTGTATTTTGTACACATGTTCAGAACAAAACAAAAACACTATATAAACAAAACTAAACAATAAAGCATATACTAAAAAAGTATATAAAAAATAATATAGGTATCGCACATCTGATAGAAATAATAATCTCAGACTTCTAAGGAATAAAAAGGGAAAATCCAACCAATGACCAATGATGGTATAATGATGTAATGATAATTATGTATTATCTTATAATTATTTTTGTTTTTAAGATTATTGAATCAATCATTTTTAATTGCAGTATCAAAATTGTTCATGATGAACAACACTTACTTCTATTTCCAGTAACTTTTGGGGTATTCCACTTTTTGGGCTCCAAATATTTTAGAATATTCTACTCATTGGAATATCAACAATTGTTGTTATGTTTTTTTGTAATGTTTTGTGTTCATACACAGCTTGGATTACCTTCTCGCTGGTGTCTCTTGTTAAAAATGATTATTGTAATACAATTTTAATAACTTTTATCAGTAAACAACTGGGTTTTATTTGGTTTAACACTGCAAACCTATGTTGTAAAAGATAAGTGAATCAGATTTGAAACCAGCTGTTTGTTCTACTCCACTTTAGAGTTGAAAGTATAAGGAAAATCATTAAGATTAGAAACAACAAGAGAAATAATAAAATTTTGTTTGATTTCAAAAATCTGCAGCAACAGAATTTAAAATTTTGTTTCTTATTAAGATTTTGATTTAATTTTCTGCTAAACCGACATGTGATCGTATGATTCTTAAACTGTCATGTGATCTATGTATGATTCTTAAACTGTCATGTGATCTATGTATGATTCTTAAACCGATATGTGATCTATGTATGATTCTTAAACTGTCATGTGATCTATGTATGATTCTTAAACTGTCATGTGGTCTATGTATGATTCTTAAACTGTCATGTGATCTATGTATGATTCTTAAACCGATATGTGATCTATGTATGATTCTTAAACTGTCATGTGATCTATGTATGATTCTTAAACTGTCATGTGATCTATGTATGATTCTTAAACTGTCATGTGATCTATGTACGATTCTTAAACTGTCATGTGATCTATGTATGATTCTTAAACTGTCATGTGATCTATGTATGATTCTTAAATCATCATGTGATCTATGTATGATTCTTAAACCATCATGTGATCTATGTATGATTCTTAAACCATCATGTGATATATTAATCTTAAATAATCTATTTATTTCATTCAAAGTTTATAAAATTGGTTAATTTAAATTAAAACATTATTTTGAATGATGTTATAAGAACAATAAAACAATTTACAAACTTTAATGTAAAAATAAGCAAAATTAAATAAACTCTTTCAATCAGATTTCTAATCAAATGTAACTGGATTAACTTTCCATTTTTATAAAAAAAAATATTTCTTGGATATTTATTTCTAATAAAATTTTTATAGTTACTTTTTTTTACATATAAAACACTGTTTGTAGATTGTTAAACAAATATTTTTTAAATCTGGGTTCTGCTCATTGCTTACTTTTTTAATCTTTGCATACTCTAGGAGCTTCTTTCTTTTTCCTTCATTTAGGCCTTCTTGTTTGTTTTTTATTAGACTTTGTTTTGTAAATCGTACAAAACAAAGTATAATAAAAGTTGTCTATTTTTACTAGATTTTGTTGTTTTTTTTGTTTATTGGTAATTCTATGTTAAATATATATATATTTTTTATTAGAATTATAATTTTTTTTTTGCTAACAGTTTATTTTACTAACAATGTTTTAACTATTTAAGCAATTTATTACATTTACACAATTTATTTTTATGTAAAGTGTAGAATACTCTCGAGTGCTGAATACAACGGGGGGTGGGAATAAACAGGTGGGTGGGAATTTTAGTCAAAATCTGATAAATAATGAGTAGGGAAATTTTTTTAAAACTTAATAAACAGGCATGTACAATGCCCCCCATGTTTATTCAGCATGCAAATATGCATTTTCAAGTCAAATGCGCATTTAACTTGCGGCCAAAAGTGCATTTTCTAACAGCTGTTAGGGTAGGGTTAGGCTGTTTTATCATAATTTCAATAGGATTTAATATGCTGATATAAGTTTTATACTTTGTAAAGTATAAAACTTATATTCAGCATATTAAATCCTATAATTAAAACCAAAGTTTATTGAGAAATAAACTAATAGTTCATTTTTAGCAAATCGAGATTTAATAGGTCGACAATTTGTAAAACCTGTTTACACTGAAAGTTAAGTTCAAGGCCGATTTTCACTGATTTTTTATTTTACTTTTGAGATATATAATTTTTTTGTTGATAACAAGTAAAAATTAATAAACGGGAGGGTCTTAATAAGCTTATGGTGGGTGGGGAAAATATCAAAAAATTTATAAGCGGGGGGGGGGGACGTTTAATAGGAACTCGAGAGTACAGACTATGTTTGTTTTGACTGTTTTTGTCAATTTATATTTTCCATTTTGAAATAAATTATTTTATTCTTTAACAGCAGATCACCTTTATAGTTAATTCTTAAAAGATGACATAATTATCTTAACATGATAAGTTCACTGTTTGTTAATCTAACTGAAATAATACTAAATAAATTGCTAAATAATAATATATAATATTGAAAAAAATTTCAATTTACATTAAATTGGCTTTTTATTAGTTAGTAAAATTTTCAAAATTTAAATAAAATTGGTTTTAAACTTTTTGTCTTTATTCATAAAATTACATTCATTTAAAGTTAATTATAATTTTAAAGTTACGTTCTTATCCTGGATGGGGAAATGCACGAGACGTTATTGCATTGTGGCAAAAGATATTAGAGTATCGTGCCAATCGAGTAGTGCATACGCCAGAAGTAAAAAAATTAATTTTAAGATCTGATGCTTTAAAAGCTTTAGAAGTTATGATTAAAGATCGTAGACCTAAAGTTAAGAGACAATCTAGCAACAACAACATGCAAGAGCTAAAAGAATTTAAAAGTGCGCCACAGTTTCAAAATGGTATGTATAAAAGATGTTATGTAACTTTGTACATTTTAAAATAATAAGATAAACAGTTATATATTAAATACACAAGTAATATCTGGTATAAAAATGCCCTTAAAATACTTAATATGTTTTATTGTATTATACAATAAGTATTTTAAAAGTTTAATAACAGTAAATAATATAATATATAATATAATAATAGTTGTTAAATATTTATTTAAATATTTGTACTTTAAAGTATCTATTTATTTTGATATTTTATATATTTTCTCCTTTTATTTTTTTATTTTACTTTTTTGTATACAGTTGTAAATAAGTTTTTAAATACTGTTATTGTATATATATTTTTTTTAAATTGAAGTTTTATTTTATTAGTTATTCTGTATATTTATTTAGATAATGTTCATTTAGTTTTCTATTTATTTATGTTATTTTTTGTATTTTTTTTTTGTTTAAATATTGTTATCCTGTATATTTGATTTTTAATTTTAGATTTTAAGCCAGCAAAGATGACAAACAAAAGTTCTATTAATGACAATACATCGAATGATAACAAGCAAACAAATAATTGTGTAAATCTCAAAGAAAACAAAGTGGAGAATGTGGATTCTGATGATATTCGTGATCCTGGTGTACCAGATGAAATATGGAAGCAATTGCAAATTGCTAAACTTGCAAAAAAAGAGGAGGAGAAAATGAAAGAAGAGAAAGTGGCAGAGCAAAAAAGGTTTTTACTTTTTTTCATTAAAATTGCAAATGCTATAAATGTTATAAATTTAAAATGTTTATTAACTAAATTCTAAATATATATGCATGTCATTAGGAGTTCAGGAAGTTTATTTGAAACTAGAAGTTTAAGTTAAAATCACTTTTTTTTTTTTTTTTTTTTTTTATTTTACTTCACCTCCTCAAGGCCGAGAAGGCCACTACAGACGAGGAGGCTACTTATTTTGTGGCTATAACCCTCTCTCAACTCTATAACTCCGAAACACGAACCTTGACGAACAAGGCCGCTGCGCGGAGAAACGAGTTGAGCGCGGTACTACCAGGGATGTGGTGGGGATCGAACTCGGAACCAATCGTTTATGAAGCGAGCGCTCTACCACTACACCACTACCGCATTTAAGAAAATTACAAATTTATAAAAAAAATAAATAGAAAAAATGTTCTTATATAAAACAAAAATTATGTTTGTTCAACATAAATTTATGTTCAATAAAGAATTACTTATTTATTTATTTATTTACATTGTTAAATTATTTTTTAACTTTTTTTAATATCTAGCCTGATTAATAAATTGGTTTTTGTTTTTAATAATAAAAAGAACTCTTTGATTTTCACATTTGCAGTTTCACATTTACGATAACATCATGTAAGGCCATTGTACTTTTCTGCAATAATAATGTTGACATTATGTGAAGCCATTGTACTTTTTTACTTTGAAACTATTGTTAAGTATTTTAAAAGTTGAGTCTTCAGAATTGTTAATACTTAAATAGAAATACTTAACTACAGACAAATTAAATTTAAAATTATAAAAATTACTTTTTTACGTATATCTATTATATAGATAACAGATTATAGAAGAAATGCAGGTAGAACTGAATATTGTTTTTAAGTTTCAACAAGTTCTTTTTTTTTAAAACTTTGTGTTTTTGATCTTTAGTGTAAAATATCAATAAATTTTTCAATTAAAATAATCTACAATAACAATATATAGATTATTTTAGTTAAAGAATATTCATTTTAATCATTGATAAAACTGATTTATGAATAAAAATTATGATGATTAGTATAACAAGGTAACAACTAGTGATTAGTATAACAACAAGTGATTAGTATAACAACTATGATTAGTATAACAACTAGTGATTAGTATAACAACTAGCGATTAGTATAACAACTAGCGATTAGTATAACAACTAGTGATTAGTATAACAACTAGTGATTAGTATAACAACTAGTGATTAGTATAACAACTAGTGATTAGTATAACAACTAGTGATTAGTATAACAACTAGTGATTAGTATAACAACTAGTGATTATTATAACAACTAGTGATTAGTATAACAACTAGTGATTAGTATAACAACTAGTGATTAGTATAACAACTAGTGATTAGTATAACAACTAGTGATTAGTATAACAACTAGTGATTAGTATAACAACTAGTGATTAGTATAACAACTAGTGATTAGTATAACAACTAGTGATTAGTGTAACAACTAGTGATTAGTATAACAACTAGTGATTAGTATAACAACTAGTGATTAGTATAACAACTAGTGATTAGTATAACAACTAGTGATTAGTATATCAACTAGTGATTAGTATAACAACTAGTGATTAGTATAACAACTAGTGATTAGTATAACAACTAGTGATTATTATAACAACTAGTGATTAGTATAACAACTAGTGATTACAACTTTCAATAACTTTTGAGTATAATGCTTGACATGTCAATTTGTTGATCAAAGGCTCAAAGACCTTGCTAATAACAGAAAAAAGACTGATGGGATGATAGTTGGAGGCGTCAGAATGTTCTCCAGAGCTTTTAAAAACTGGAACTACAGATGCCATTTTCCACCAAATAGGAAAACAAGATACAGTCAAGCAGTTTAGAGAGATTTGAAGGGAATTCTGGAGAACACTTTTGTAATACTATGACAGGAATGTTGACTAGGCCACAAACCGTAGTTTAATTGAGAAATGAGTCGAGAAGAGGGGGGAGAAAGGGACAGTCTGTCCAGGGCGGCAGATATTCAAGGGGCGCCAAATGAAAAAAAGGTACCTAAAAAAAAGGTCCTTTATCTATAATATAGGGAAATTTTGTTAAATAAGGGCACCAACCATGGTTGCTGTCCCAGGCGGCGTGAAGGCCCGCATATTCAATTATTGGTAAATATAATTTTAATAAAGTTTTACAAAATTGTCAACTACCCCTCTAAAATTAAATACAATAAACAAAAATATTTCAAAGCATAATAAAAGAATAATTTTTTTAGTTTTGAGATTAAATGTTTATTTATCAACTGAATAGAAATCAAGCAAATATTTTTACTTAATTTTTTGTATTTTTGACAGAAGAAATTAACAAATATTTGTTAAGCTAATATTTTAATACTAATAATGCTTAATAATAGTGCTTAACGAGTAATAAATTTTTTTTTTTAATAGTAATAATTTTTTTTTAATTATGTGACCTAGATGCTATAAATTGTCAACGAGGAAACCAGAGGAAAAGTTGTTTGACACAATTTTACATTTCTGCTTTGGATATATGTATAATATATTATGTATAATCATGTATAACAAAATACGAATAAAAAATTATTATAAAATAGTAACAAGAGTGTAAATAAAATAAAAAAGTAATAATAAAAGGTAACAGTGAAAAAAAATAAATAATAATTGTAATAATTATAAGCAAGTGATGTCACTTAAATAAAAGTATGATCAGAAAAGACCAAACTTTATTATTAATAAAAAAGTATAATAACAAAAGACTTATAAATATCACTTTATTAAATAATTTATACTATTTTTTTATTCTGTAATATCTGATTTTTACATTCAGCAAAACGAATTTTACCAGCGTTCTCACATAAATTTCTTCTTGGAGATATAATACCCAAACGTAACTATTTGTGCTCCAAACATTAGTAATGTCTAGAAAGAGTTGAACAAAACGCTAATAATATCCAAAGAGAATTATTTGTTTTGCAATCGTTACAAAAAAAGAAACTAAAACCAGATTCTTGAACTTTCAACTGGACTTTAACGATGTTTAACGCCGGCCTATATTTATGTCTAACATTAAAAAAGATATGATGTTTTAAAAATATATAATATCTTTACACAATAATAATATTATAAGATATTTACTATTTTTAAGATTTCAAGAAGAGCAAGAAAAAATATTGAATGAACTTCTCCGTGAGTTGCAAGAAGAAAGAGAAGAAGAAAAACGACAGCAGATGTTGCGAGAGTTGGAGAAAAAGCGAGAAGAAGAACGAAAACGACGAGAAGCAGAAGAAAAACGGTTAAACGAAGAACGACAAAAAGCTAAAGATGTTGAAAATGCTATACGTAAAATATGCCCGTGTCCTGCAGGTTACTCCTGGTATAAGCAGGGTGGTGGTTGGAGATGTGGTGGTGGAAGTCATTTTGTTTCTGATGAACAGTTACAACGTCAGTTTACAACAAGCGCTTAGTACCATCAAAAGAGTTAATTACTCTTATAATAAATATATGATTTTATTTTTCTTACTCATTTATTGTGTGACGTTTTAGTTTAATAAACCAGTGGTTCGTTTATTATTTTGTTCTAATATTCCTTTTCACTTATTAGAGAAATGTAGATGTCATCCCCCACTCTCCTTCCGGGCACAATAAGTTGTAAGTTTAAAAAAATATAACATGTTTAAAAAACCTTTTAAATTTAACTTAAAACAAATAATGCTACTAATAAGCTTGCTTCTTTCGCCCATGGTCTTTAATGTTAGGCACAGAATTTAATATTGGACACAGAACTTAATGTTCGACACTAAAGACCTTAAAAATGTAAATACAAAAAGTGTGATCGCATTACACTTTCTATATTCACACTTTTAGATCAAGCATTTTAGATCAAGGTGTAACCTATTTTTGTGTTCAGTTTTAATGATACTAATTTGGCTAAACTTCCTATTCCCCAAAATTTGGAAATGCCATGAGAATTTGTTGAGCTGGTTTGCATACGATAAGAAAGTTATGTTGTTGCTTAATCTAAAACTTAGGAGCAATGTCTTTTCCTCTGGAACAAACTTTCATCATAAAATTTTTGCTCTACAATTTTGGGCATACTTTTAACTTCAAAATCATCATAGCTCACTTTTAACTTTAAAATCATCATCAGATGTTAAGACCATTGATTCTTTAGCAAATGTCAAAACTACCCTTTTATTTTTGATTGAGTTTATATCAGAATCGAACCATTTTAAAATTTCTTTAACAATATTTTCACTGTGGCACTGTGAGCCAGAATTCAATTTCACTGGACAAAACTAATAACTCGTCATGTAAAAAAGATTTAAGAACCATTTCTGAGTTGTTTATTAATTTGAGGATTGCGGTTCAAATGGTGGTATAAGTTTTAATTCTGGGTTCCTATGGTACCTAATAACTTAGCAACAATATATTTTGAGCAGCCGTAGCGCATTAGTTTGCGCTCTTGCCTCAGAAGCTAGAGATCCGTGGTTCAAAGCCACCAAGGCTTTGAATTAGGGCAAGTTTTGAAGAATGCGAGGGTATGCAAGGATACAGTTAAAGATGAATGAATGATGATACAGTTAAAGATATTTTTACAGTTAGGATACAGTTAAAGATGAATGCGAAGATACAGTTAAAGATATTTTTAAAAACCAACTAAAAATAAATAGCGAAGTTGTTGTAGAAAGAGCACATAGAGTAGGCAAAACAAAATATAGTAAAATACCTAGAACTCTAGTTCTGAAACTTTTAAATTATCAAGACTAGAACAAGATTCTTAACGCTGTTAAAAACTTGAAAGGTACTGGTGTATTCATTAACGAAGATTTCGCCAAGGAAACTATCAAGAATCGCAAAAAGTTATGGAAAGAAGTCAAACGTCTACGCGGTGAAGGAAAGTACGCCATTATCAAGTATGATAAAATTTTTTGTAGAGAATTTAAAAATCCCATCCCTAACTTTAAGTCCTAAAAAGAAGCCTTTCTAAAAGTAAATGCTCAAATAAAATTATATTTAAAAAAAAAAAAAAGCATGGCTGGAATCAGTGACTTTGAATCTATGCGTTTTAACTTTAATGAAATAAATGATGTAAATATAGACCCCGATATAAACTATTCCTACGAGGCGCTTAGGGATTGCTCATATCACTTTCCAAGCAATTTAGAAGGGTTTCTTTTTAAAAATGTTTATGACAAATGTTTAAATAAAATTATGATACTACACGTAAACATTCGAAGTCTTAATAACAATTTTGAAAAACTTTTAAACTTGTTAGAGGAAACAAAAAATCGTTTTAACATAGTTTGTTTAACTGAAACCTGGATTTCAAATAACATAAATAATACTTCGAACTTTTATATTCCTCATTTTTAATTAATTTCGTTTAAAAGACAAGTAAATAAACGCGGTGGAGGAGTCCTTATATATGTGAATGAAAATATTGTTTATTACGTTAGGAATGATTTAAGTGCTTCTGATAGCGATAAAGAAATTTTGATTATTGAAATTATGAACAATTAATCTAAAAACATATTATTAAGCTGTTGTTATCACCCACCTGACGGCGTGAGCGAGAACTTGAGCATTTTTTTTGAACAAAGTATTTTCTAAAAAGGTATTAAAGAAAACAAAAAGAACTTCATTATTGGAGACCTAAATATGAATTGTTTTCTTTATAATGAAGATAACAAAATTAAAAACTTTTACGACTCCTTTTTCAAGGCGGGAGCAATTCCTTTAATAAACAGGCCAGCTAGAGTAACAAAAAACTCGGCGTCTTTGATTGATAATATTATTACAACAATGATATTCAAACAGGTATCCTAAAATCTGATATAACTGATCATTTTCCAATATTCTTGACAATTAATTCTGAAATTAAAAAATAAACAAATTTAAAATTCGCATTTTTAACCATACAAATATAAAGTTGTTTAAAAACCAACTATCGTTACTGCACTGGAAGCATATTAACTTCAATGACAATGCGGACAAAATTTATGATAACTTTTATGAAACCTTTTACTCCGTTTATGACGCAAACTTTCCTATTATTGAAAAGACAATAACTCCAAAATATAAAAATAACCCCTGGATAACAAAAGGATTTAAAAAATCATCCAAGATTAAACAGAAGCTGTATATAAAATATCTTAAAACAAAATCATTAGATAATGAGAAAATATATAAAAATTACAAATATCTCTTTGAAAAAGTTCGTAAAAACTTGAAAAAAAATTATTACACAAGACTCCTAGATAAATTCAAAAATAACACAAAACGCAATTGGCAAATAATGAACGAAATTATTGGCAGACAAAAAAAATGCTCAGGTTCTCTTCCCCAGTGGATAACAAACGCATATGCGAACCAAAAGCTATAGCTCATGAGTTTAATTAATTCTTTACTGACATTGGTCCTAAACTAGCAAATAAAATTCCTTATACCAAAGCAACATTTAACAATTTTCTAGTACAGATGGATAATTGCATTAGTTCCAACGAATTATATTCTGTGCTAACTTTTCATGAATTCGAAAAAGCATTCAAATTTCTTAAAAAAAACAAAACGGAGCAGATGACATAAACGGTAATATAGTTATAGAATGTTTTGAACAATTAAAAGATATACTTTTTAAGGTTTATGGAGCATCTATTCACCAAGGAGTTTTTCCGGATTAATTAAAAATTGCTAAAATTACCCCAATTTTAAAAGAGGGAGATCAAACAAATATCAGTAATTATCGTCCTATCTCCGTCCTCTGCACATTCTCAAAAAACTTGAACGCATTATGTATAATAGATTATACAATTATCTCCTTTCTAATAATTTGTTATTCGCCAACCAGTTTGGTTTAAAAAAAAAATAATTCGACGGAACATGCGATTATCCAACTTGTACGTGAAATTTCAAATTCTTTTGAAAAATCTAAATTTACATTAGGTGTTTTTATCGACCTATCGAAGGCGTTCGATACTCTAGATCATGAAATTTTGATACAAAAACTGAAATACTATGGAATAAATTACAAAGTTATAAAATGGTTCGGAAGTTATTTATCTAACCGTAAACAATTTTTTTTTAGTAATAGTTGTTATTCAAATGAGTTCTTAAATGTTTCATGTGGCATTTCCCAAGGTTCCATTTTGGGACCACTGTTGTTCTTGATTTATTTAAACAACCTAAATAAAGCCTCAAATTTAATGAGTATAATGTTTGCTGATGACACCAACTTATTTCTTTGCAATAATGATATTTACAAACTCTTTTCAAGTATGAACGATGAACTTAAAAACATATCAAAATGATTTAAATGCAATAAGCTTAACAGTAACAAAACAAAATGGATTCTCTTCCATCCAATCACAAAAAAACCTTATTTACCCCAAAATTTACCAGAAATCTTTACTGATAATACTGTAATAAAAAGACACTATGCCACAAAGTTTTTAGGTGTTTTTCTTGATGAAAACATCACATAGAAAGCGCATAATGACTATATTAGCAAATTATTTCTAAAAGCATTGGAATTTTATATAAATCCAGAACATACCTATGTAAAAAAGATTTAACCCAACTATACTACTCGTTTATTCACACCTATTTAAATTATGCAAATATTGCTTGGGGAAGCACAGAAAAAAGCAAGTTACAATGTCTTTACCGTCAGAAGCACGCGATCCGTTTAATTAATTTTGCGGATCGATACACTCATTCCAAACCTTTTTTTATTGAAATGAAAATTCTTAATATTTACGAGCTTAATGTGTTTAATGTTTTATGCTTTATGTATTTGTGGAAAAATGACTTATCCCTACCTATCCTTAAAGTTCTCTTTTGTCAAAAACCAATAAATAAATAATAAACTTTTGCATAAACCTTTTTGTCGATCAATGTTTAACCAGTATGGTATTGCTTATCGTGCGCCATATCTTTGGAATAAAGTTGTTTTGCCAAATTTTGATATATTTTACACTTTTCCGATTTTCAAACATAAACTCAAAAATTTAATTTTTTTTTCCGATGACATAATAAGGTTCTTCTAATTGTAATTATGTACCTTTATTTAGAACTTTTTAGTTGTAAAATACGTTTTATGTTAATTGTAAAATACGTTATATGTAACGACTCTTTTTGTTTTACTTTTTATCTTTTTGTTTTACATTTTACTTTTACTGTTTATTTTTACTGTTTATTATATACATTGTAAATAATTATGCTAAATTCTTGTAAAAGGTTCTGATGATAAGATCAGTATGATCTTCTTTCAGAAACCTTGTTTGTATTTGTTAAAGTATTGTATTACGACAAATGTAAACTTAAAATGTAAAAAAAAAAAAAAGAAAAAAAAAAAAAAGTTTTATAAGATTAGTAAGGAACGAGGCGTGAACTTCCTCTTCCGCAGTACTCTGAGATAAGACTTCTTGGGGCACCTAAAAAAATTTTTTAATGAAACGTAAGAAATATAAACAGGATAAAGTAACAAACGTATCAGATTACTCATGTAATTACCACATTAAGTTTATGCTACAAATGTAGTGGTACTGTTGATTTTATATTTGGTT